AATAATATATAAAATGCTTACGATTCAGTGAGGGGGGAAAAAGCAGTACAAAATTGTGTCCTTGATATGAGACAATCGTGTAAAATTTAATTATGTATGTTTACAGACGAGGACTAAAAGGGAAAATGAATAGGTGGAAACAGCAAGGTGAATGTAGGTGCTTTTTTTTTATTTGGGGGGTGGGTGGGTAGCCATTATATTGTTCTTCGAGCAATTTAATATTTTCTTTTCTTCCCAAGACAGTGTCCACCAGAGGGCAGAGAGAAGATGACAAACAGAATCATTTAGCACAAGACTCAGCTGAAAAGTTAAGAACCCAGCATTCAGTGTGGAAAGCAATCTCCAAGGGCATGTAAGTCCAACTTCCTTGTATTACAAGGGACAGACTGCAGCCCAGAGTGGTAAAACGGCAGGCTGGTCCCCCAAGCGGTGGAGGTAGAAGCCTATGTCCGCACTTCTCCATCCGTCTCTTCCTACCAAACTACAGTGCTTCCTTAAACAAGGCAATGTTTAATCTAAAAAAGAGAAGATTTCGAAGGATATGAGATGAGGGCAGCTGCTTATCAAGGAAGGGTTTTTGTTGTTGTTGTTGTTGGGTTTTGTTCTTTGTAACAAGAGATGGAATATCTAGAAATTACAGGGAAGCAAATTTTAGTCCTATAGAAGAACTTAACGATTAAGGGTGTCCAAAAGGTGAAACAGGTAGCAGATTTCCAACTGAAGCCAAAGCCAAAATGGAAATCTTTGAAGAAAACTATTCTTCAGGTCCTGCACTGAGTGAGCACTTGGCATAGAGGCCTTCTCACTTCCCTTCCAACTCTTTAAAAGGCCCTATACATTTTTTATTTGTGGGAGTGGGAGAATATGAAATCATTGGATTTCATGAAATCTTCTTGGTTGGATAATAAGGAAGACCTCACACTTGCTAATATCTTGGTTTATATAAATATAGAATTATTTTATGGTGAATTTCTACTTACAGCTGATTTTCGCTATATCAGGTGCTTTGGGAATCACATCCCCAGAAAAGTCTCTTCGTGATAATAATGTCCCAGGGTTGTTAGCAAAGCAGAATTCCCTTCCAGAAGTTCTCAATTCCCATAATTTTGTGCCATTTTTTTCCTTTCAAAAAATGGCTGGGCTATACCACTGACTATGAGATATACGAACAGATGTCCCTGGAATGAGTGGGGAAGGAGTGTAGGTAGTCTAATCCTGGTAAGGACTCAATTTCAGAACCCATTCACAGGCCAGGGCAAGAAAGAAGATGAAATCCAAATATGAGTCTTAATGAGTCTTTCCTACTAAGAGGTAACATTCTATAACATCTTTCTCACTTCTTACCACGTGCCTCAGCCCATACCTATAAAAATTTCTCCTGTGCAAAGTTTTAAACTAATCCACACTAAAGTAACCAATGTGGCTAAGAGGTGGACGGCAGATCACCACGCCATAGCATCTCAGAAAGTAGAAATACCTCTCTGTCCTGCAAAGAAGGACTGAGACTCCAGATGTCAGGGAATAGCCTCCCTAATTGAAATGAATCTGCCAAAGGGTGACAAGAGAGTTCTGCAAAGACAATCTGCAAGTGAAAAGGGCCATCTTACAAGCAGTGAGCTCCTTCCCATGAGATTCATCTTACCCTCAGAGTTGTCTCATTCTGAGGACTTCTGCTATCCCAACTGGCCCAGATGAGCTCTGACCCATTTTAAAACTACAGCCTAAGAACAGCCAAACACAAACCACTTCCCTGGTTCCCCATGAACAGCTAAAAAAAGGCTGGAATTTTTCCTTTTAAGTTGATTTATTTATTTTGAGAAAGGGAGAGACAGACAGAGAGACTGAGAGTGTGACCAAGGAAGGGCAGGGAGAGAGGGAGGGAGAGAGAATCCCAAGCAGACTCCTTGCTGTCCGTGCAGAGCCTGACATGGGGCTTGATCCTATGAACCATGCGATCATGACCTGAGCCAAAAATCAAGAGTCAGACACTTAACTGCCTGAGCCAACCAGGTACCCCTGGAATTTTTCTTAATTATAAAACAAGAGAGAGAGAGAGTCTAGGAAAGAGGAGGTGAGGAAGAGGGACCATTTATACTCTACCACCACAACACAATCCATCATTTCTATTTACTACTTTCTAATCCTTATTCGTAAGCATTCATACGGTGATTTGCAAGAAACCAAAAGGAATTTTTTTAATAGAAAATACACTAATACACTCTAGGAAAATTCAGCCTTACACATAGAACCTTCATTCCATACCAATTAACTCCCCTAGACACCCAAGCCTTGTTTCCTTACATGGCTGAAAGGGGGAAAGTGTTATATTAAAGTTATATTTGCTCACTCTACATATGCTAGTTTCCTTATCCCAGCAACCCTTTAAGAGTACATACTATTATCTCAATTTTAGGGGAAACTAAGGCTCTCAGAGACTAAAGAAACCTAGGATCACACAGCTAGAAAATCATGGAACCACGTTAAAATCCTAATCCTAATCCTTCTGATTCTAAAACTCATGCTTAAAGTTGAAAGACAAGCCATAGACTGGGGGAAAATATCTACGACACATACGACAAAGAGTTAAGGTTCCTTGCAAGCGAGGATACCAACAGAATAGATTTCACAAAGACAGGTAGGCGATCATTTATTTTTTTGGAGATAATATTTTTTTAAAAGCAGAAAATACTTATGTTCAGGCTTTCACTAAAGAGGAAATGCAAGTACCCAACAAAATTTGAAAAGATGCTGACCTTTACTATGAGTCAGGGAAAGGCAAGTTAAAGTCGTCAGATACTATTCCTCACCCATCATGTTGGCAAAAATTTAAAAGAGTGATAACAGTCCATTCCAATTCCAAGGAAAGGGCCACTTCCTGACACTGCTGGAGGAAGTATAAATTATCAGAATATTTTCCAGAAGTAACCTGATACAGCATCAATGAAAATTTTAAATGTACATTCTGTTTGACCTTATATTATCACTTATTGGAATCCAGCCTCAAAAAAACAAAAAGCACCAGTACACACATTTAAAGATATTTATTGTAGCATTGCTCATGTTGAAACAATAGAAACTGCTCCTGAATAGTTCTTTTTTTTTTTTTTTTAATTTATTTTTGAGAGACAGAGAAAGTGTGAGTGGGGGCAGGGCAGGGAAAGGGAGACAGGATCTGAAGCGGGCTCTGTGCTGACAGCAGAGAGCCTGATGTGGGGCTTGAACTCACGAACTGTGGGATCGTGACCTAAGCCAATGTTGGAATTTTAACCAACTAAGCCACCCAGGTGCCCCAATAGTTCCTATTTTAATAAATTAAAGTGTAGCCATATTTTTGTAACAAAAGTTCATAACAAAATTTGAGAATAGTAAAATATTTTCCAAATTAAGTAAAGCCCCTAATCACTCTTTTGTTCCTTTTCCCTAATAGACTATTTTTAATATATTTACATTGTGCAGAAGTAGTACTAGATATCATGTTAATAAGTGACTAATCAATGGTCTATGAAAATACCTCATTAAAATTCCATGTGATGATTTCACAGATTCTAAGTATTTTTCAAAAGAAACATATCAATTTTTGGCAACTTTACAAAGGTGTAAAAGTTAATTTGGCCTTGAAATCATGGTATATAAATTCACTGGTAGGAGCATCTGGGTGGCTCAGTTGGTTGAGCATCTGCCTTTTGATTTCAGCTCAGGTCATGATCTGGAGGGTTCATGAGATCGAGCCCTGCGCTGGACCCCGTGCTGATAGCATGGAGCCTGCTTGGAATTCTCTCTCTCTCTCCCTCTTTCTCTGCCCCTCCCCCTGCTCATGCTCTCTCTCTCTCTCTCTCAAAATAAATAAACTTTAAAAAATTCATTAGCAAAAACTGTTCAAGTTTTGTTATATATGAATACAAAGAAAAACACATCTACAAATTTCATTCCTCTCAGTTGATCAGATGAGACCAGATTTTATTTTAATCTGCAAAGAGTATTAGCCAAAATAATAATAATTCTACTTTAAAATATATATGTGTGTGTGTATGTGTGTATATATATATATATATATATCACTCAGAGTTAATTTCCCGAAAAAAAAGTTCGAGGGATCACACAAACACAAAAGAAGAGCAAGAAAACTGGAGTAAAAGTATATAAGTTTAACATCATGTTCCGGTTCTCCAGTCTTCCTGTGCATCCTAGACGTTTCTGCCACACTTGGCTGGTTACACGGAAATTAAATAAGACCCTGTTGAGATACTCAAGCACTGGTTCCCTCGGTTTCCCCAAAGCCCTCATAAAGGCACATGAAATATAAAATCATAAATTATCCCATGAGTCCCCATCAAACAATGTCATCTGCCCCTTCTCCAATGTTCCAGTGTACTCCACTTATAATTCTTATGACACTTAGTTCAAAACGCTGAAGGAGGTGAACTTGGATATCTGTGTATGTTATATCCCCCACCAGACTGTAAGCTCCTAGGCAGCAGAGTATGTAGTTCAGGGTCAGGGGGAGACCTGAGAATTCAGCCAGTCCAACCACCCAAGCAAAATCTCAGAGCTCTTTACAATACTTCACCAAGCAGAAAAGTTTGCGATAGCGGTACTACCCCACTCCACGGCAGCTTGTTCCTTCTTAGGAAAAGTGGATCTCCTAGAAAGCTCTCCTATAAATAGAATTAAGATATTTTTCTGCAATTTTTCTCATTTAACCCCTCTCTTACCCATTGGTAATCTACAGAATAGATCAAATCCCTATTGCCACAGGACAGCTTGTGAAATATGAGAACCTTCATATTTTTCCTTTAATTTCCTAACTCAGTACTTTGCATATGAAAGAAAGAAAGAAAGAAAGAAAGAAAGAAAGAAAGAAAGAAAGAA